TTTTTTTTTTTAGCAAAATGTGTAATACCCTGTTTAAATGGAGGAAAATGCAAAGGGAATAATGTATGTAGATGTCCTGCTGGTTTTAAAGGTGATCATTGTGAAATTGGTAGACGATCTCCACAACGTTCAGCGTGCACAAGAGCATGCAGAAATGGAACTTGTCAACCTGATAATACATGTCTTTGTGAACCTGGTTGGTTTGGAAAGTTGTGCAATAAAAATAAGCCATGGGCTTAAAATTAGAAGCAATTTTCCTCTGATGGTATTATTTATAACCAATTGGATTAATATAAAAATTTCTTATTTCATATCTTATAACTTTGAATTCTATTTACATGATGTTCATTCATAAATTTAAGACATTTTCTCACATTTAATTTAATAATTTCTACATTATATTATATTTTTTAAAATGATATTAGATACTTCAAAAAAGAATGGATAACTAATTTTATGATATGATTGTTTTATAAATTAAATAGCAATAATTTTAAAATCCAATTGGTTAATACCACTAAACTAATATTTAGTTAGTAATTTACCCTACCCCAGATGTGATATGTAAAGCTGCTTTACGACATTTTATACTATTAAATATTATTTTTAAATAATATACTTTTATATTGTTAGATTTATGTAATGATTGTAAAGAATATATATACAAAATATATTTTCTCTCTTATAATTAATATTCTTTTATGTTGATTTCATAAAATTATATTTCACTTTAAATTTTTTTGACATTTAAAGTTAAAGTTTTAAATTTCAATTATTTATAATAATTTTTCTTTTTGAGAAAATAATAAAAGATACAAATATTACTAATAAAAAAAAATACTATTATTCAAATTTATATGATAAAAAAATTGCATACCAATTCTGCAGTCGTTCGAATAGAAAACGTCAAAACAACGTGAAGGAACGATTGCTTCTACCTGTTTCAGATATACAAGTTTAGGTTAGACTGAAACTCAGCAACATCACTCCAGGGACGCTGAGAACAAGAGTCACGTGTTTCAGGATCCAATAAGAACGTACATCAGATAGACGCCATAACGCGTACCCCAGAAGCACTATCCAATCACGTTATTCCAGACTCGTATACATGTATATGGTGTTCGTGTTTCCGTGGTCGCTGGTATCTATTTGCAGATTTTCACGGGAAATCGGTGAGTGCCGAAGAGATATCGGTGCGTTATTAGCACGTAAGTGATCGTTGAGGGCCCGGGCGATGCGCGGATGTTGCGCATTCGCAAAATAAGGGCAATTTCGCATCGTCTGCTTGGAGTGCACCGCGCAGGCTCGCTCAAAATGGCCGCCTCGCTGCCGCGTTTGTTGTGGTGGAGATGGAGAGCCGCGTAGCCGATCGATACGCCTGCTGGCGAAACTGGCCATGGTGTCTATGGCGGCTGTTGTGCGTGTTGTGGCGTGGCGCGACGTACACGCGAGTTACGAGCGGTGAGATAGAAGGTCGCGTGCTAGCCTCACGGTGGTGGTGCTGTGCGGGTGAGCGTTTGACACGGGTGGCGAGATGACCGCGA